ATAGTGAGGGAAGCACACAGTGGGTGTGGTGGGGGGTGTACCAGAGAGAGCACACAGTGGGTGTGGGTGTTCATGTAGTGGGGGAAACGCACAGTGTGAGTGCGTGTGTGTGTGTAGTGGTGAAAGCACAGTGTTGCTGTGTGGTGGGGGAATCACACTGTATGTGTGTTCATAGGGTAAGTCACACAAGCACCCCCCACAATACACATGCACCCACACACACTCTTGCATTGCCATACACGCAGACACCCACACCCCCTCGCACACCCCTCCCCCCACAAACCCCATACCCATCCAAAACCACTTATACACACACACCCACATACTCGCTCACCCCACACTCACACTCCACATATCTATTCACCCCCACAAACCCACACACACACACAACCTCCTCCACATACCCACACACCCACAGCCCCCCACACCCCCACAGTTTACAAGAATAAGACTTCATTTTCAGCTATTGTGCTATCATCTCTATGTACATTACACAAACACATGTAAATCAGGACAAAAATATTTTTTGAAATCAAATTAATGAACGTTGTAGATGTTCATGTTTTAGAATATAATTTAGTATTTTATGGCAAAACTCATTGCTGAAAGGAGTATTTCTGGGGGCAACGGGAGGGGCTGCTGATGGCAAAGGTCAGGGGTTAGCGGGTGGGACTTCCACTCCCAAGATGGTGACCAGGGGGTGGGGCACCTGTCAAGGCGGGGGGAGCTACCCATGTCACTCTCAACAGCTTGCCAAAACTCAGTAATCAGCCCTTGTCCAAAATAATCGCCCGTCCCTGGTATTTAACATCTTCCAGGAAGTTGCCAAACTGCCCTTCTCCCTAGCACCCCCACCCCACCCAAGCTCTGGCCACAGCAAAGCTGAGCTGCCAGCTGTGAGCTGCCCCTGTCAAGAGGCTCAGTTTGGGAAGATAGGGGAAGGGAGCCCTCCACATACCCCAACTGGGATATTGGGGAGGAGCTGGGCCAGGCCTGCAAGGCGGGGGGCTCTGTTCCACCCAACCCCCAACCTGAGCCTCTTGTGGCAGTGTGAAGCTGCCAGCTCAGCTTTGCCAAGGCCAGAGCTGGGGCAGAGGGAGCAGAGCCCCCTCACCTCGTAGGCCCAGGCCAGCAGGGGCACCTTCCCACTTCTCTTTGTGCAAAGCACCATGAGTTACAGCACCTCTCTGACAGGCTGCCTAAATGTCTGCAGGCATCCTTAATGCTTGTGTTCTATTTTCTTTCTGTATATG